ACTTTTAAAAATCGGTAACTAGTAACGGTAACTTGTTACTTTTCCTACTCGGTAACGAGTAACTGTAACTTGTTACTTTTAAAAAGTAACTTTCTATTCCCTGATATTATTTATAATAATGTGTAAAATATTATATGAGCGCTCTAATCCTTTGTATTTCATTGTTACTCATTGTTATTTTATAGTTTCTTCAAAAAAACAAATTAAATTGAAAAAATTAGAATCCCCAAAAATTACAAACAAATTAGCACTCCACTCAGAACATCAACGAACCCAAATAAGTCTGTGCTACTTATGGATTGTTCAGCTAGTACTAACCAAAATAAAAAATCAAAAGAAAATATTATGCCATCAGCACTTAAAGAAACCGTAAAAAAAATAAGTAATTAGTTAAAACATAAAAATAATGTTAATAATAAAAAATGTGATACATTAGCAGATAGTAAAACAGAATTAGTAAATTTAATGATAAGTAATGTGGAAAAGAAAGATATGAATTTTAAATTAAAATTTTAGAAACACTATTGCAAAAAGAAAAATTGCAAATTGACATAATGTAGAAGAAATTAGAATTTAAAACGTTGGTTTTAGAAAAAGAACGACTAAAATTAAAAAACGTGTTATAAACCTAATAAGCATATTTATACATTTTTTCTTTGTTATAAGTAAAACATTCGTTATAAGTAAAAGTTTTTATTATTTTTGAAAATTATAATAAAATTCTATTTGACAATTATTTTTAAATTCGAAAGAAATCCTAAAGTTCGGAGGAATCTCTAAAATTATTTATTCATTATTTACTATTATATTATCGCTATTATTTTTATTATCATCAATATATTGTAACAGTATAGTCTGGATGGCTTGGCTAAATAACTAGCACTCTTCGTAAGCGTGAACAGAAATATAATTAAAAAAAACATACAAGGGAGTCGCCGGAAGGTCTACTCCATACGACGATTGTATCGTGACTGACTCGCTCAGGCATTCGCCCGGCAACGCTGGCACAAAAAAAAAGAAAAAGAGACGCTCTATTCGTTACGTGTTACAGGGCTGACTCTTAACTAAAGTTCCTAGCTCGCACAAAAACAAAAAATCGACAAAAGGAGCGCATGCATTTTATCTCGCAATCTTGTGTATTATTTATCACACTCGACCTTTCCTGACTTTACTCCGCCCTCGGAGTCCTTAAAACTAACCCATGGTCGCATGTTTGCCGCCTCCCAAGTGCCTTCATAAGGCTTCTGCGTTACTTGGTGATCACTAGCGTCCTTAATTACATAACGATCATTTCGTAACACTCGTGACACTTCATAAGGCCCTTTAAACCTTGGAATAATTTTATGTGATGCACCTACTGTGGTGTCTATATTTTTTATCATAACAGAGTCTAGTACAGGCAAATTGTCCAAAATAAACAAAAAAATTGCGAAGTGGCTGTAACTTGGTATAGACCTTTGAAAATGTATATATTTCAAGAAACCAAAGAGTCCCTAGCCAAAAAGGGTGTGCTGGAGTGGCCACGCTTAACCCTTTGCGGCACAACGGGTCTCTTAGAGACCCATATGTAAATAATATAATTTTGTGATTTCTTTTCATGTAAATCACTATTAATATCGACAAGTTTGGTAAATTTAGCATCCTAAGATCTAAAATAATAAGATACAGTACTATAATTTTTTTTCTGTTAATAATATTGTTGAAATAAACAAACAAAATCGAAAAATGGTGTTTTATTCGAATAAATTCGATTTCTCGAAAAATATAAAAAGTTATAAATTGAAATTTCGTACTCTGAGGTTTTCGAGGTCGTTGAGTCTGTTTCGATTACTTTCGATACTTTATTCGATTGTGATAAACATTTTCATCCAATTGTACATTTGTTTTCTTAATACAACTGCTTCACTAGGTGTGAGTAATATTCTGTAAAAAAATACACATTAATTGCATAAGTGTCGATTTTTAAGTAGATTGAAATATTAGATTATATTGCATGCATATCTTTTATACCTAAAGAAAATCGGAATGGGTAGCATCTGCCTCGTAAAAGATATCTTCTAATTCTTCGCCCGCATGCTCGTGTACTGAGTCTATATGTTCGGAGTCGTCAAGATTTTCGCAAATTGGCTCCATGTATGCATTGAGGCACTGCATTCCCTGACAATGTCTACAAATTTCCGAGCATTTTAACCCTGCTTTTCTGCACCCACACCTCGAAGAACAATCAGATGTACAGTTGCAGGAGATAAGTTGTAGTATCGATTCTGGTGCTGGCTGAAGGAGTGTTGTAATAGGTTGCAACGAACCGTTGATTTTCCATCCCCACTGTTCCGGATTTTTGTTATTGCCAAGCTATAACTGAATTTGGTAGAAAACTCGTGATGAATGTTGTGCAGTTGCCTCTGATGTTGGTGGTAATAATTCAAGCCTTGATTTTTATTTTTGCAGCGAATTTTTAAATTGGTCAAATCTGTACGAATCAAGCGAAAGATTTCGAAATTTCTTGGCACCGTATACCATCAAAAAAAGAGTTTCACCAGCATCTCTTACTTCTGATTGGGTTGAATTTTCGTCATTGAAAGTTTTCACGACATTAGCCAATGGAAATTCTTTTTGCAGGAGTTTGAAAATTTGTAATTTTCCCTTCTGAAATATACTAGACGTTGTATCACAATCACTGAAGGCATGGGTCAGTAAGATTGTATCTTTCATATGTTGGTACGATTTTTGGATTTCTGACGACGAAAAAATTTTCCTGTTGATTTTGCCTGTGTCTGGCTTCATGAGAAATATATATCTTTATTTTCTGGTGATAATGCGATCAAAAGAACAAGTAGATCAACGTCCTCGCCGACTACAAATGTTCGACCATTATTCGACATTTCTATTGCGGTTTTAACAATAAGTGTATCCGCATCATCTATCGCTTGTTTTACCACGAATTTTCTATTTTGGAGAAATTTCGTTAACAATGAAATCAATCTGATTTTATTTTTATCGTTTGACAAAAATTTATTTTGATTGACAGTAGCCGTCATACTTTCATCGAAAATAGTTTCTACACATTGGCTATGCAGGTATCGTCGATGCTGCTCAGCTTTTTTGATACTCGAGTCATTTTCGTAGCCATCAAATACGATTACGACATTTTTTCCAAATTTGTTTTCTACATAGTTAACGTACGTAGTACATATTTGTCCATATGTTTGATTTGTCTGCCATATTACCCGATGCAATAAAAATCCACCATCAATCACATAAACGTCATTGGAGCTCGGCAAATTTTCTTCAAGATCAATGGGATGAAACATGTCATAAACAGCAGACTTTTTTGTCTTCCTCATTCCGGTTGTATCATTGAACATTGAAAGTGGGTACGGAGCAAGTTCATATTTGAAAAATTCCGCGAGATTATCATCGTGTT